AAATCGGAAGATTATGTTTATGTACATTACTTTTCTCTGTGGAATTTTGAACGATAGGTTTTGGACAAAGTTTTAAAATTAAACGATTGACCTGTTCCTTTTGTGACATAATAAAGTTATCTTCAACTTCTTATTGTTGTATCCACTAGAACTTAAGAGTGCTGAATAAACATTGTGAAAAAAATGTCGTGTTCATTAAAAGTGTATCAGAGAAGATAGGACACTGAACCTGATTACCTTGTATGAGACTCGTGAACAAGGTATACAAGCAGCTGTAATGACATCGAAATTATAACCTAACATTATTTTCTTTCCATTCCTTGTGACTCGTATTCATATTATCTAACAAGCACGCTTGCAGTAAGTACACACCATTGTTTATTGAAATAGGATTGTGCTATAGAAAATAGTTTTCGTACTAGGAAAAAAACGAAAATGTAGATGGTTGTCATGAAAACAGGAAAGAAAGAGAAGAGCAGAACGTGGAAAAATTATTATATTAAATTGTAATGATTATTTTCTACATACGAACAAAATTTCTAACTGAAAATGGATAATATGATAATGATAAGAAAGGTAATATGATCAGTTATGGAGCAAAACGTTGCGTGTTCTCAATGTATTGATGTATGTACTCCACTAAGAAACCACTTTGTTCTAAAGCGTACTGTTAATGCGGGTGCTTCCATATGATGGATAGGAATAAATGGTTTATTATATTTAAACAATAATTGGCGAGTAAAATTAACACCTTTCCATAATGATATAATTAGACCAGGTCGAATACTGGTTGCAATGACTGATATGGACTACACTACAATCATCAGCCCATCTATCAGCTGATTGGTTACTACTTTTTCACCCATATTTGCGAGAGTTTCACATGCGCGTTCTCTGACATAGTCTTTCGAATTTGTTTTAATCTCGTTTATTGATGTAAAAAAAAAAAGTAGAAAATCCAAAAGATACAAGCCACAAAAGCGGATCGAGGATCCATATACATGTGGTCGCCGTAAAAAAAGAAAAAGAAGTCTTTCGAATTCCGAAGGGCAGTCATAAGAGAATTAAGCATCTTATTGGTTACATCTTTTTCGCCTATTGCTACAAGAGTTACGCGTGCATTGTAGCCGACACCATCATCGTTATCCTCAAGTGCAGTAATTAGTCCATTGATCACGTGATTAGTTGCTGCTTTTTTACCCATTGATTCGAGCGCTCGACATGTATTCCATTCGACATTGTGATTTTGATCCTTAAGTGCAGTCACCAGCCCGTTGATCACTTCGTCGGTTGCTGCTTTTTCGCCTATTTTTCCGAGAGCTAAACATGCTTCCTGTCTTATCAACTCAGTCCGATCCCTAAGTGCAGTCACCAGCCCGTTGATCACTTCATTGATTGTTGCTTTTTGACCAATGTTTCCAAGAGCTTTCAATGCATATGATTGCACAATATGATCGTTTGGTTTTCGAAGTGTGACCATCAGTGCTTTGATGACTTCATTGGCTGCTCCTCTTTGACTTATTCTTGCGAGTGCTTCACATGCACGTTGTCTGACACTATCATTGTCGTGATCGCCAAGTGCAGTCACCAACCCATTGATCATCTCGTTAATTGCTGCTTTTCCAACCATGTTTCCGAGAGTGCAGCAGGCTGTCGACCGGATAGATGAAGAGCCATTCTGGAGTTGCAGTAATATTTCATGAATCAGCCCTGGTATCGGATTCGTGATCGATAAGTTCGGGATGAAGTAAAGTGCATTCTCTCTGATTTTAGAATCTTGGCTCTGAAGAAGCTTAATGAATGTTGCTTGTATTGCAAGTTGATTTGGTAACTGAATACATCTTCGAAAAATTCGCGTAAGTCGTGTTGCTCCGTAGAGACTGCAATGATTATCGCATTTGCAATAGAATCCAATAATTCTTTATGCTGACGTAAGATTGAGTCCCTTGGAATTTCTTCAATACATGAGGTGATCAGTTGTATGTGTCTCAAACCAAGCAGGTCCAATGGCTCCCCTAAGATAGTGTTCCAGAATACATTAATGGATTCTTCTTCAGCCTTCTCAGTAAGCAGATCAGATGCAAAAAGAAATACATTTTCATATCGTATGATAGTGTATTCAGATATGATCGAGAAGTTAAAATGTGATGTGGGGTCTTGAGTAACTGTTCGAATAGATGTTTCAGATGTTTCGGTATACTTTCCATAATTTCATCATAGCTGTCTAAAATCCATAGTACTTGACTTTTGTTAAATTGTTCTCTCAAGATCTTTTCATCTTTTTCAGATAGACCATGACCAAAATATTCTGTTTTAATGATGTCGATTAGAGTATACTTACTACCAGGTGCCAATGCAGGATAGCGACTATCTGTTAAAGAACGTAAGGAAATCAGAACAATCAGTTGATATTGTGACCATATTTTGCCAATTGCCCATTGGCAAGTAACATAATGACAAAATATTGATTTTCCAATACCAGCTCGTCCAGATATGAGCACGTTCTTTGTTTGATCCGGGCATTTCTTAAAAATGCCATTAACATCTATTATAGTTTCACGCCGTAGATCTGTTCAAAGGTACTGATAATCGCATCACTGTGTTGAGCATCACGCAATTCCTGTTCCTTTTCTTGTTGTTCTTTAGTTTCTACTATGGCTAAATTAATGTAACTTCGATCGATTGGAAACCAATTTGCTGGATTCACTATGCGATGAACACGAGAGTTTCGAATATATTCGTGTCTTATCAACTCGAAGAGGTAACTTGGCTCATCCTTCGACTCTGGGGCTGGATTGATCGTATAAAACAGCAACCTTCAGCTCCAGCCCCAAAGCCAACGTTTTGAGCTAGTGTTTCTTTTTGCATCTGATCTGCTTACTGAGAAGGCTGAAGAAGAATCCATTAATGTATTCTGGAACACTATCTTAGGGGAGCCATTGGACCTGCTTGGTTTGAGACACATACAACTGATCACCTCATGTATTGAAGAAATTCCAAGGGACTCAATCTTACGTCAGCATAAAGAATTATTGGATTCTATTGCAAATGCGATAATCATTGCAGTCTCTACGGAGCAACACGACTTACGCGAATTTTTCGAAGATGTATTCAGTTACCAAATCAACTTGCAATACAAGCAACATTCATTAAGCTTCTTCAGAGCCAAGATTCTAAAATCAGAGAGAATGCACTTTACTTCATCCCGAACTTATCGATCACGAATCCGATACCAGGGCTGATTCATGAAATATTACTGCAACTCCAGAATGGCTCTTCATCTATCCGATCGACAGCAAGAATATGCAATATTCTTTTGTTTTTTTTTGGTTATTATATGTTCGTATTAATGAAAAATTTTTATGTACAACATCACGTTTTCTTCTACTGATATTTCGTCGCCATGTTATCGTGTACGAAAAACCAGTTCTCATTTAAAATAGCACTGCATCTTCACCTGAAACGTCATCCAATTTTTATATATCACAACACTATTGTGATATATAAAAATTGGATGAAAGTTATTCAGCTTATTCCATTTTTCGTATCTTTTATATATACGCGTGTCTTCTGGCACTCGGTGACTATTGGTAGCCTGAAAGACTGATGGACTATGGGTAATCGACAATATTCAGTTTTGTGGAATTATTTAGAAATAGTTCTAAAAATCTACCGAAAACCCATTTTTACGAAAATTAGGGTTTCAGGCTCTTTTCACCTAATATTAAAAAATTCACTATTCACTCACAAAACATCAGAACGAGTTCAAAATTTCAGAATGTAGACTATTTAAGCTATTCTATATTCTATTCATAGCAGATCTCGAAACAAATTTTACAAAACCTTCCGGAATTTTTTAATATTAGGTGAAAAGAGCCTGAAATCCTAATTTTGGTAAAACTTGGTTTTCGGTAGATTTTTAGAACTATTTCTAAAAATAAATAATTCCACAAAACTCAGCATTGTCGATTACCCATAGTCCATCAGTCTTTCAGGCTACCAATAGTCACCGAGTGCCAATCCTGGGACTCGTCGGAAATCCGATACAACGCCCGAACCGTGGAAAATCAAGGTCTCACTTTACCTCCGTTTTGGAGATGGCACCCCGAGCTATCAGCCCATGAGCAAAAAGCAATACGATCCTATTGGAAAATCTTTATAGACGGCCTAGTTTTCCAATGATCTCCTAGAAAACCTGTTTCAGAAAACTCTTCTGAAAATAATGTTGGTTACGAAAACATGTCTCCAAGTCTTTTCTTTTGAATGGCGAAAACCGTAGGTCTCTATCTTGCTCCTATTAAAAGTTATTCGCAATCAAAGTCGTTCAGTGACTTATAGGACACCTAGTAGGCTTCACTCGGTTGTTGCATTTTGTTCTGAAAACTAACATTGCCACGAGATTCAACCTATGTTTTCATTCATTTCTGACAGTCCCAAACCTAACGGCAGAGGAGTGCTAAGACTTCAGGAAAAACGTCCATAGCTCCCGAATCATGGATGTTCAAGATGTCGCTTGGATCAAGTTTTGTAGACGACACTTCAGGCTATATATCTGTGAAGAAAACTCATAGGTTTATATGTCAGTTTTCAGAGAACCGAACTGGTTTTCAAAAGATCCTCTGGAAAACCGGCTTCGAAAATTTTTCCGAAATTCATTTTTGCTTATGGAAAGATAGCTTCAAGTCTTGGCCATCGAATGGTGAAAAACGCAAGTCTTGATCTTGTGTTCCCTTCGAGTTATTCAAAAAATAATGACCGGCCTTGCTTTTTTATAACGGATAGTAGCTATTTTAAAGAAAAAGCTGAATTTTAAGAGAACAAAAAGACTGGTAGTCGGGAAACTTTTTTCCTTAATCACCAATATTACCATTATATAACCTAATAATGGAAAAAAGATCTCATTCAAGTTTATTTTTTTCGAAATTTTCACTCATACCGTCCATGCATACTGCTTATATAGCCTAATGTCTCTAATGCTTGTCTTAAAACTACTTCAGACTCTGTTAAAATATACGAATTTTCACTGTTCGCTAAATGTGTGTTTTTATGATGATCATTATGTCTTTCCTGATCAAAAAGCATCTTTTGACTGTAAATATTCTAAAAACATTTCTTGTTTTTCCAATTGAAAGCATAAGCGTTGTTCAGATGTTACTAATAAAATGTGTTTTTCATTTTTACATTCTATAAACATTTCTGTAATTCTTTTAACATTTCCAGTGTCAAACACAATCTCTCTTGAAAGTGGCATAACATAAATTTTCTTTTGTAACAAACCCCTAAATTTATTTCTTAATAATCCTTGCATCACTCCCATTAATGGTTCTAAGCAATGAATTCTAGAAATATTTTTCCATCCGTCAACATTTAGCTTAGGATAACTAATCGTGTATCACGAATTAAAACATTATTCTCCGTCTCGAACAACAGTCATGCAGGATATTCTTTCTCATTATAACTTCTCTCCATTAGAAGATTCGTAATGATCTTTGATCGTAGAAAATCTTTCTTTTTCTTCTTTATATACCCTCTGATCTAAAACTTTATATTTCGAAATCAATGAAATAACTCGTTTAACCCTTTATCTCCCCCTTCCATAGTGGTTCCAGAAGAGCCACTGATGAAATAACCACACAAATAGAGTATTAGTCTCCCCAATATGCCATTAGTACGAGCAGATCGATCAGACATACTGTCCCTTGTGCAGGGTAGTTTGGTCACTACAGTGACGACATAAAAACTTATTTTTCATATCCATGTTCCATCTCCATGTTTCATATCCATGTTAGATTCATGCCTAGACACGGATGGGACGGTTCGGGCTTGGTCCTGGTCCTGCTAAAAAACGTTCTGGCCCCGGATCATCCGACTCATATCTAATAATGACAAATAATGCTTGTATTTATAAATAATGTCAATTATTTACTTAACCATTATCGTAAAATAGACTTTTTATACGCTGAACAGAATCGGTCCAAGGTGTTAAAAGTGCAGGTGTTAAATCATGTGAATTATGTAAATTTGAATTTATAATGCATGCTGAAATTAAACCATTTAAACAGGTACCATTTGCTCAATATTATTCAAGTTTTGAATATTACTTTTTTTCTTTTTCTTTTGTGTTTAGTGGCAAAAATTGGACATGAATGTTGTAGAGCGTCGTAAAATAATGTGCTCTGTTGCATTTAATTTGATAGCTGTGACATGTGTTCTATGGTCATCACACGTTCTCATTGACAAAACAAGAGAAGAAGTTAAACTAAGAAAATTAGGTTAGTATGATCGGGAATTGGTATATGTTTAAGCAAGATGAATTGAAATATTGTTATTGTTCTATTTCAGAATGGCAATTTTGGATTAAATTGATTGTAGTGGCAGTCGGATTTACCGGTGGTTTGGTAAGTTTAACCAGAAGAAAAAGAAGCATGTGGAATGGATGCATAAGTTACTGTTTGATAACAAAAAAAAACTGTTACCGTTGCAGTAATGCTCCTAACCCTAGTTGTCACTATATTCATTTTTCTTTATTTTTTCTGCTTTGTCCATAAAATAGTATATAGAAATATATCGGTCAGAACTGTTCGTGTTGTGAAAGTGTGTATATGAGTATCTTATTCTCACCGTCATATTTCAACGTCAAAGGCATCTCTATTAGACAAAATAGAGCAAAATGAACAAAAATATAATTAGTTGGACTATGCATATCTGATAGTGCTGACGAAAAAGAAGGCGGAGATAATATGCTAAAGAGACAACGGCTGGTTATCATTTTCTTCGTCAGCACTATTTCGAAGCTTGGTGTCGACAAGTGCCTATATTTCCATCTCTTGAAAGATGGTTACAAGGACACATTGTGTGTTTAGACCACTGAAAAACAAATATCATTAGAAAATAATCAAACTTCTTTAGACCGGTTTTATCGATTTAGAAAAACTTTTTAATCCGATATAGCTTTCCAACGCGGAAAATCATCAGAGTACTAATATAACAGAGAGAAACACTCTCCTATCCGGACTTAAAATATGAAAGCATCTGGAAGACAATGTGCCTAAAGATGCTGCACGAAAAATGATTATGATATAAAAAAGTAGAGGAAAACAAAAAATAAATGTGTGAATCTCTAATTATTTCTCTGTACATAAAATAGCCTTTAATACTAAAATCAACATGTATATGTATCAGAGTTGGAACCGGATCGGTAAATCGGCATCGGATCGGTCGTTAACGGCCGACTTTCATATTTTAAGTCCGAATAGGAGAATGTTTCTCTCTGTTATATTAGTACTCTAATGATTTTTCAAAATTTTGGATCTTTAACTAGAGTCGATGGTACGGATATGTTTTCTTTCGCAGTCAAGCATAAAAACAGAAAATCATAGGATTTTTGGTAAAAAATTTGAAAGTAATCTAGAATTGGCAGAATATTATGTAGCTGAAGGGATTTGTCCGAAGTGCGAGAAAGAGAGATGTAAAAACGACATCTAATTCCATCAGAATGTTAGCTTTAGTCTACTCTCATTACGGTACATTCTTTATCCAGCGTAATTTTCTGAATGTCTTCCAGATTAAAGTTAGCAAATTGGTTTCATTTACCTTCCGTCGTTTTTTCTGTGTGATAAAACATAGAAAGTTTCCTATAAACGACTTTTCTACCTATAGGCAAAAAGTTTCTTGTACTTATATGTTTTGTTTCAAGGAATTAGAATGTGGTATTACTTATGCTTTTTAGTAGAAACGCCGGCTTAGTTTGATCATTTTTATGTTCATCTTCGGCAACTTCGCTTTGTTTTCTTTTTCAGAAATCGTAACAGATCGAAAAATTACGATTATTTAACGTCATTATTACTTTTTAAATTCTTTCAGCTTTGTTCTTTTTTTCTGTCTTGTCAATCCAATTTGTTTCAATGATGCTCTGCTTTGTTTGAATCCCTTTATATCTTAACGAATTTGGTTTTTTCGAATATTTGAATCTCAAATTGAGTCATTAAAGGAACAAAAAAATAATTAAACAACATGGTATAAATACGTAATGATATTTATTATTTTTCTTGTTTTCTTTATTCTATTAGTTAATATAACTTTAATAATTGACAGTGAGATATCTTTTCTATGCCACTTTCCTTTCTAGTCCAGCATTCTCGATGCTAAACACCAAGAAAGTTGTTCGATCTTCTCTTTTCATTGAGATTTTTTGGTGTACGTTTTTATTTTTTGTATTCTTTTTATATCTCATACCTAATAAATTATTATTATTATTATTCTTTCTTTTTCTCATCTCAGATTTAATTTTAATGCCAAAATTTTTATATATTTTTTTTCCTTGTTAAAATAGCTGCTGTTGAATGAATAATTAAAACTAATTGTTATTCACTTTGGTATGATAAAAATCAAAACAAATCAATTCCCGACTGACGATCAACGGTAATGAAACCACAAAGTATAATTTATTTATCACAATACTGTTAAGAGCCCCCCACCCCTTAAAAAAGCATTTTTTGACAAAAAAATCGATTTGGGCATTTATGCATAGTTGTACAGTCCAATATATCTGCTTTCGAATGTACTATGATTTATTGGTTTTACGATGGTTTTTGAGGATTTTACAGCGATTTTATATCAGCACTACAACCTAACAAAGCCGGAATTTTTGTTTTCAATTTATTTGTTTACAAAAAACTCGAGTTTTCTAAAAAATGAATCTAGGTTTTTCGAAAAAACTGTCTAAAAAAATTAATTTTTTTTTCAAAAATCCGGCTTTGTTAGGTTGTAGGGGCAGGTCTTCTGTATATTTTGACACCATCCCGAGGTCCGTATCATTAAAACTGAAAACAAAATCTTTGACACACGGACACCTACTTTTTGACCCTTGATGTTACAATAACTCGCGAAAAACTCAATATGATGAGCTCAAATTTTTACTAAGAACTATCAATGGTCAGATACATATTCAGTAAAAATTTCAGTAAGGTTGAGTGTTCTGGGAAAAAAAAAGTTTTAGAGGGAAGGGGCCCTTAACTGATATTAGATACGTTGTGTTTCAAAATGAATGAACTATCATCTGATTGTTAGATAAAAGAGAGGCTATCATACCATTCTATCACTAAGTGTATAAAACTAAGAATGAAACATATGAAATATCTTGCCTTGCTGAAATCCCGTCTTGCAGCTACAGTTTTAGCTGTAGCTCGAGGCCAGGTTAAGCTTTTAGTAAAATCAACAATTTAAAAACACACCAAATACAAAGTTTGTCACAGCCACTTCTCTATCAACGCTTCGTCCGATCAATGTGGTTTCTTGGAACTTTATGTTTGTTACAGTATAGATACAAAGGACACAGTTTTAAACTTGGCGTTATTAACGTTTTATTAACCCGTTACTTTCCTATCAGCTCATTTCTTCAACGATTGCACTTTAATTCAGTTTTTGATAACATTCCGTTTGTTTAGCTCTGCTAATTGTTAAAAATACTGTTCTTTACTAATCACATTTGTTTGTGTAAAATACTAGTTAGTTCGTTCGAAAACTACTCGGAATCCAAACTTATCTACTTCACTACCTTCTACAACTACACTCTAGCCTTACAGCGAGACAGGGACGGATGTATCTAGATCTTGTTCCATTGACTGTAAGTCTATAGACATACGAAATAAATTGTTTGGAAATATATCGACAGGCCCAGGCAGATCTAAACATTACGGGCCTCAAAAGTGTCGGCCTGTTTCGAGCCCTGGTACGCATAACAATTTTTGAGCTAATTTACTTAAAATCGGATACACTCTAGCCTTACAGCGAGACAGGGACGGATGTACCTAGATCTTGTTCTATTGACTGTAAGTCTATAGTCATACGAAATAAATTGTTTGTGTGTTTGGGTGTGACGGACGTACACACACACCGTGACGGACGTCCATACTCAGAATCACTAATGAGTGTCACGAGCATATATCCACATGGGTACATGCGTTCGGGTTTTCTGTAGAATCAGAGAAGTGCATGAACACCTATTCTGGCTGCGAGCGCGGACCGAAGGGACGCGTGAACATTGTCTCGAATTTAGGAATATTTTTTAGACCTTTCGGGATCTTTGGGAGGTCTCGAGAAACGTTTCATAGATTTAAACTACATTATGAAGCTGACACATCAAACGAGAGAAATATTCACAAGGCATTGTAAATGGGTCCTAGCGAAGATCGACCGAAGGGGGGGGGGGGGGGGGCCATTTGTTTTGTTTTTTATTTTTGGGGGGGGGTTGCGCAATTAAAATTACAAAATGAAAGGGAATGTTTTGGGTCNCCCCCCCCTCCCCCCCCCCCCCCCCCCCCCCCCCCCCCCCCCCCCCCCCCCCCGCGGCGGGGCCCGGCCGCCCCGGGAGCATAGGGTTCTATTTTAAGTGATGGAGGGTCGTTCGCAGATATAAGTTCCTAAAGTCAAGGGAAGTGATTGCTGACGAGCATTACGTTGTTTTTTCTCTCTAAAATTCTACTTTTCTTCGTTATGATTGGCTTATCAACGATATATCTGGCAGCCGCTTTTCCTCGAACGAGGCCAAACATTGCCGCCACTAAGGTTCCGTTATCAAGGGTAAGAAGACTGAGAGATCTGCTAATATTACATCCATTTCGAAAGCTGTAAAAAATATATCGCTAGTAACAAGATCGAGTTACAACAGAATGAATAATACTGCCGACCGTCGGCAGTATTATAGTGGCACTATATTCGTTCGACCGAAAATGGATTTAGTTATTTATTTTATATGTTTATAAATACAATTGATTCCGAGAAGACAGACGCAGTGCATTTTCAATATCGTGTACGTGTTTATCTATATTTATACATCTACATGGTGTAATTTAGGGATGAGCGATAACGATAGAAACGTGTTACCGTTACCGACGCTTCGGTACAACTTCAGATTTTGACCGCAGTAATTTCGAACTGGTAAAAAATCTCAAATTTTATCTCGGTAGACTTCGGTAAAAAATGAATAGGTTTATTCATAGAAAAGAACCCGTTAACATCAATGAGAAACATTCAAAAAGTTTGTTTGTAATCTTTGATACTTTTAAATGGTAATTTTATTTCCACAAATTATGTTTATCTAAACGTTTTGATGCTTTGCATCTGCATCAGTAGACACGATAAATTAAAAAGAATAAAAATTTTTAAAAACACGAAAAAGAATCTTTCATGTCGGACGCTCAAGTGTCGGGTCGCTCCATTGTCTGAGTTGCTGAGATGTCGGTCGCTCAAGTGTCAGTCGCTCAAACGTCGGTTAAT